CCCAGCCCCTCACTGGGGGATTCTAGGCAGGGGCTCTACCACTGAGCCACGCCCCCAGCCCCTCACTGGGGGATTCTAGGCAGGGGCTCTACCACTGAGCCACGCCCCCAGCCCCTCACTGGGGGATTCTAGGCTGGGGCTCTACCACTGAGCCATGCCCCCAGCCCCTCACTGGGGGATTCTAGGCAGGGCTCTACCACTGGGCCACGCCCACAGCACTTCAGTGTTTTGGGAAAGACGTTCACTGTGTGTAGCTCAGACTGGCCTTGCCTTGTGATCCCCCTGCTTCCTCTATAGAGTGCTGACAATTGCTGATGTGTGCCACTGTTCTGACATTTGATACTAGTATCATTTTGAGACAGGTCTTACTCTGTACCTCAGACTGGCCTTGAGCTCCTTGTGACTTCCTGCCCCTGCCTCCTACATTCAAGGTCATTACTGTCCTTACTGAACCTTCTCTCCAGCTCCTCCCCCTCTCTTTTAACTACTGCATTACTGCATACAGGACAGCTTTCTTTTCTTTCCTTCCTTCCTTCTTTCTTTCTTTCTTTCTTTCTTTCTTTTCTTTCTTTCTTTCTTTTTTTTCTTTTTTTTGGTTTTTCGAGACAGGGTTTCTCTGTGTAGCCCTGGCTGTCCTGGAACTCACTCTGTAGACCAGGCTGGCCTCGAACTCAGAAATCCGCCTGTCTCTGCCTCCCAAGTGCTGGGATTAATGGCATGCACCACCACCACCTGGCCAGGACAGCTTTTCAAATAGCCACCTCTCAGAGCTTTGCCGAGTTTTTGTGGCCATTCAATATCATGTACTATGTGTGCATAGGAAAATTCAAAAATTACAAACCAACATGCAAGTAAGGAACACCAGGGTTGTTTGTGCTGCCCACTTGGTATGTTGCCTGCTTAGCATACATAGTATTCTGAGTTTGAGCCCTGGCATTGCATTAACCTGGGAAGAGAAGGAGACGGATCCAAAATTGGGACATTGTTGGTTATATAGAAGGTTTGAGGTTAGCCTGGGATACTTGAGACCCAGTGGTAGGGGTGGGGTATATACATATTTATATACAGGTTGGAGCCACAGGTATGCCTCAGTAGTAGTGGAGAGAGATAAACCAGGCTAAGGAATAGAGGGAACTCTTGTGGGAGATGACAGATGCAACTTTGTTTGGTCTGAGGCATTGACATCTGAATCTAGGTCAGAAAGGCTTGAGCAGTGCCGAGGTGTCAGGTGGGAAGCGTGTTCGGGGTTCTGCGGTGGCAGGTGCGAAGGCCCTGAGCAGGAGGCTTCAGCCTTTGTTGGATATAAGACTGGCGGCTATGTAACTGGAGAAGGTGCCCACAGGACAATATTTGGGCTCAGTATCCAGCAGGGTCTGTGCTGGCCTGCACTCTCTCCGGGCAGCAGTGCTGTGGGCCCAGGAACAATCGCAGTAAGCAGCTGGCTGGTTTGCTCTTGGGCTTTGCCTACACAGCTGGTGTGTAACCACTTCCTGCCCGAGGCTGCCCGTCTAATTGCAGCACCTGCACTGGTAGAAGAGTCGCTCTTGCGTTGTTTCCTCAGTTACAGATGTGAGCACTGTTTTGCTTTGTTTTCTTTTGTGGTGCTGAATATTGAACCAGGATCCTGTACCAGTTAGACAAGCACTCTACCACTGCCCCACGTCCCCAGACCCCTCTCTTGGAGGCAGAGTCTTGATGAGTTACTCCTGTTCTTGAACTTGCTGTGTGGCTCATGCAGGCCTTGACCTCTGGATTCTCCTGCCTTTACCTACCAAGTCGTTGGGGTTGCAGGCCCAGCTGGCTGCCCTTGTGACTTTGGGGCATCTTAGCTTCCTGTCGAGGGACGCCACTGGGACTCCCCTTTCTCACCTGAGAAAACTGCCCTTGGAAAGATTGCCTGTAGTTTAGAAGTGTCAGGGTTGGATTTGAACACAGACCACTTTGCTTAAGTCAAGGCTCCTCCTGCCATGGAGCTGTGATGCCCTGACTGGTCTGATAGAGCAGAGGGGAACAGCAGGCAGTTCCAGAGCAGAGGAGGGCCATGTTGGGTGGAAGTACACAGGCAGTTAAAAATTTGTTTTTGTTACAAAAAAAAAAATTTATTTTAAGTATGTGTGTGAGGGGTAGATGCCTGTTGGTGCAGAAGCCGGAGGCACTGGGTCCCTCGGGACCTGGGGTTACAGGATGTTACGGACCTCTTGTGGGTGTGAAGAGCTCTAACAGGTGAGCCACCTCCGCAGTTACAGCCACGCTGCTCTCACTTGGGGCCACCAGGGAAAACCATGACGTTTTTGTTGAGCCTCCCAGACCTGTGACTCCATGTGTAAAGACGCGCGCCCTAGCTGAGTGAGCAGAGGGCTTATAAAGGTAACAGCCACAAGTTTGGTAGGTCCCGTTGATGTAGCTGTGGTGGCTGTTAGCAAGCATGACAGGTATGAATTTTTAATAAGAATAAGGCACAGCTGTACCACCGTGGTGTCACTGGAGCGGAACAGTGACGGTGAGCTATGGTTCCCGGGAAGTGCTGTTAGGCTGACCTGTTCTAGCCCGATTCAGCCAGGTCAGGCTTGAGCTCCTGTGTTTTCCTCATTTCATTGCCTCTACACTGAGTGCTGAAATTACTGGTGTGCTTCATTCGGTACTCTGATTATGCGTGATGGGATGGAACTCAGGGCCTCCTGCTTCCTAGGCAAGCAGCACTCCAGCTGAGCCACATCTGTGGCCGAGACGTCTTTGAGGGCTGTAATACCTCCTCACCTGTTAATGAGCCCCACGCTGAACACTTAGCATTGCCTGTCCTGAGCGCCCCACACCCACACACCTTACCGTGTCTTCAGCCTCAGGCTGGAGCCGCAGGTCCTCTGGTGAGTGACGTCTTCATAAATAGCTCTTTCTTTCAATGAATAATGAGCCTGTATCAGGTAGTGCTTCTGTTCCTGGATAATAGATTCAGTAGGAAGCCTGGGGCTTTTCTAGGCCAGCACTGACAAAACAACTCCAGTCAAAGGGAAACAGGGACCAGGCAAAGAGTCTCCTGCCTGCAATTCTAGCCCCTGAAAGGTGAAGCCAGGAAGATCCCCATAAGTTCAAGGTGTGCCTGGTTAAGTGACACCTAACACACACACACACAAACACACACACACACACATACGTGCGCACCAAAAAAAAAAAAAAAACCCCACCAATGACTAAGCATGTGAAAGTGGAGCTGGTGTGGCAGCTCATGCTTGTAGCCTGGACTACGTGGCCAAGTCTCAAAAAATGAAATGGGGTGGGGGAAGCTGGAGAATTGGCTCAGCAGTTATAAGCACTTGTTCTTACAGAGGACCAGGGTTTGATTCCCAGCACCCACACAGCAGCTCACAAGTACCTTAATTCTAGTTCCAGAGGTTCTGATACTCTCCTCTCGGCCTCTAAGGGGCCAGGAGAGCAGATGGGATGTAGGCATACGTCCAGGCAAAATGCTCGTATGCAAGTGATAAATAAACTTACGAAAGAAAAGGAAACTACAGCCTCAAGTTTGGACTGGTTGGCAGTCTCCAGGCTGTCTAAGAGAAGTGACTCCAGTCCTTCCCTGACCTTCCTGTGATGTACAGAAGAGTCATTGCACGGCCTCCAGCTGTAGCAGCTTATGGAGTCTAGATAGTGTTTTGTTTCTTATTTAAAAGAATGTTAAAATTGGTTTCACTCTTTTTGTTCACTTATTTTTAATTCTAAAATCTTTTTTTTTTAAGATTTATTTATTTCATGTATGTGAGTACACTGTATCTGTCTTCAGACACACCAGAAGAGGGCATCAGACCCTATTACAGATGGTTGTGAGTCACCATGTGGGTTCTGCGAATTGAACTCAGAACCTCTGGAAGAGCATCCAGTGCTCTTAACTGCTGAACCATCTCTCCAGACCTAGTTCTAAAACCTTTAGCTGAACAAAAAATATCCTTAAAACTTCTTTATTGCATCTTTGGAAGACTGATTTTTGTTTATGTGTATGTATGTGTCTGCATGTATGCTACATGTGCTGTACCCAAGGAGGCTAGAAGAGCATGCCGGATTCCCAAGAACCAGTTACTGGAGGCACTGAGCAGCCTGATGTGGGTGCTGGGAACTGAATTCAGTCCCTGTGTAAGAGCAGCATGTGCTCATGACTTCGAGGTCTGGGTCTCAGTTCCTTTAGTCCATTTTTATGTAATTTTATTTGAGTGTGTCTTGTGAGCAAGAATTCCTGAAAAGATGTTGTGTCTGCAGACACTGGTGGATTGATAAGGGTTTCAGTGCTATGGAGAGAGTGGGACTTTGTCCCTTCAGAGGCCAATTACTTTCTCTTGGGCTGGTTTTAGCTTCAGGCACAGCCACTCCTTGCCTCACTCCGTCTGAACTAACACCTCACAATAAGTAAAAACCTCTTAGACTGTAAAAACAATAAGTAAAAACCTCCTTTACTGTAGCAAAACACTAGCCACCACCAAGAGAGCTAAGAATGTCATCGGAGAGCATCTTGGGCCTGTAAAACAGCTCCCCTCTTTTGTGCCCACCTCTCTGGTGTACCCATCAGTGTATTTTAAAGTTGCCTTAATTTGGGAGTTGAAGAGATGGCTCAGCAGTTAAGAGCACTGACTGCTCTTCCAGAGGTCCTGAGTTCAATTCCCAGCAAACACATGGTGGCTCACAACCACCTGTAATGGGATCTTTTCTGATGCCCTCTTCTGACATATAGGTATACGTGCAAATATAGCAGTCATATACATAAATAAATCTTGAGAAAAAAAATGCCTCAATTTGTGCCTTTTTTCTGCAAAACTATAATCAACTTAATGAAACTACTTCTACGTTGGAACATGGAGTTTGTGGTAGCCTAAATCTGTGTTTTGTGGCCGTGGTCACTCAGAATGGTTCCAGAATAAACTAGTTCTTATTCCCTGTAAGGTAAGAGCTGTTTTCACACTGACTGTACGTGTGTGGGCACATGTGGGCCTCCTTCCACTGGAATTCTGGTAGTCAGGCTTGGCAGCAGGTGCCTACAACTGCTGGGTCATCGTACAGGACCAGGGATAAAGGAGTCTCAAGCCTAGACATCAGTCCTTGCCCCAGTTAGACATACAGCATTTCTGAATCTGCGGATGGCTCAGTGGGCAGTGAATGCAGACCAGAGGTGGGATCCCCAGCACCCACATGAGAGCTGGGGAGGGGCATGGCAGCCTGCCTGGGAGCCCAGTGCTCCTGAGGCAGAGAAGGGCTCCCTGCGGAGATCTACCTCAGCAAATAAAGTGGACAGCCACTGCGGAAGACACCTGCCATCTCAACCTCTGGCCTCTACATGCACTCAGACTTGTGAATACACAACCACGCACACTACACACACCACTTCTGTAGTGTTAGTCTATCCCTTATAGCTATCACCTTTTTTGATTTCTTTTTTTCTTTTATATTTGAGACAGGGTCTCATGTGATCCTGACTAGCCTCCAATTTGCTGTGTAGCTAAGGATGACTTGAAACTTGTGATTCTTCTGCCCTCACCTCTCAAATGCTGGGGTTACACGTGTGCGACACCAAGTCCCAGCTTTACCTTCCTTCATCTTTTTCAGTGAGGGTAATGTCACAGGAGTCACCAACAGTAAAACAATGCCTGCCAATAGCTACTAAGTATCTACTGTGTACCCTGACCTTCAGCCATGTTAATTATGGGGTGCTCCTGGATCTGATGATCCGTGTTTTATAGGTGAGGAGGTAGAGGCTCCAGGAGGTTGTCCAGTGATGGTGCACAGCTGGTGTGTCGCAGAGCTGGGTTCAAATGCAGGACTCGGTGCTGTGCAAACCAGAAAACCCCTGGCATGCGTTAGTTTGTCCAGGAACTTCTGTAGTTACGTGTCCTTTGTATGACAACTTGCATCTAACTGTCTTTGGCTATTGCCACCAAGCAGAGCTCCAGGACAGGGAGCAGACTGACGAGTGTGGGAGTGTGGGGATGTCATTGGAGAAGCAGCGGTATAGTGTGTGTTCATTGAGTGAATTGTCAGTGTCGTGTCCTGGGCTGCCTGCCAGAGATGGAACGACTCTACTCACTACCCAGTTCCCATCCCCGCTGACACACAGGTGACATTCCAAGGGTGTGGCAGCCCAGGTGTACATCGTCTCTGTCCCCTGTTCCAGAGCAAGCCCAAGGCAGAACCAAGCACTCAGTAACCTTTCTTTGCCCCACAGTTGGAAAAGGAGGAACAGATACACAGCGTGGACATTGGGAATGATGGCTCGGCCTTTGTGGAGGTGCTAGTGGGCAGCTCGGCTGGAGGGGCCACAGCTGGTGAACAGGACTATGAGGTAAGCAGGGCTGGGAGAGGCTGACACTCCGTGTCTTCATCAGTAACCCCCCGACCCTCTCACTAGCCATCACCTGTGATTACACAAGTGTGGATGTGGGCCACCCAGCCTGCCTCCTGGAGGGTCCTGGGTATTCCGAGGAGACAGAGCAGGCATGGGGTATTGGCCTGATCATCAGGGGAGAGCCCAGCTGCCTGGATGTAGTCAAATAAGGAACAAGAGGCCCCCACTTGTTGTAAAATTCAGTTGCAGCTCAGGTCATGGCCCTAGAACTGGGGTTCCACATTGTCATGACTCTGGTAACCTGCTTGAGACAAAATACAGTCCCTTTCTGAGTGGTACTTAATTTTTTCCTTTCGTTTTGTTCAGGCTGGTGTTCACTCCTAGTCTCAAGCAGTTTTCCTGCCTCAGCCTCTCAGGAAGCTGGGACTGTAGGCATGCTCTGTCAAGCTGGCTCACAGGACCGTTATGACTGGCCAAGGTCACTGTAGCTCAGAGTATTAGCCTACTGGCTTTCCAGTGAAGTGATGGCGGTGAAAACTAAGCTCACCACGATGCAGGTGACAAGTCTCAGGCTAAGCCAGTGAAGACTAAAGTCCGCGTGTGTGAGGAGAGCCAGGTCTGAGCCTTCTGATGGTAGGCTATACCAGCCTTGGTCTTTGCTGCACCGTCGTGCCTGTTGAAACTAAAGAGGCTGTTTTGTATGTTTTGTACCCTCCCCTGCTTTGTTTTTTTTTTAAAAAAGATAGGGTCTCACTTGGCCCAGATTGGTTTTGAACTTAGCACACAGCTGGGGCTGGTCTTAAATCCCTGATCCTCCCACCCCATCTGACTAAGTGCTGCCATTACAGCTGTGAGCTACCTTTTTTCCCTCCCTTTGTCCTGCTGTCGTCCTGCCGCCTGGCACCTTAGGGCACTGTCAGGTTCAAGGGGGATGCAGGCCTTGTCATCTTCCTGGCTTTAGAGGAGCGTTGTGTCTCTCACTGTTAAATGTGATGATGACTATAGGGTGGGTTCTTAACCTGAGGGTTACGACCCCTAAGACCATCAGAAAACACAGATACTTATGTTACAATTCATAACAGCAGTAAACTTACAGTTATGAAGTAGCAATGAAAATAATTTTATATTTGAGGTCACCACAACATGAGGAATCTTAGGAAAGCTCAGAGCCACTGCTGTAGGGTATTTTTATTTTTTGAAAAAACCGAAGGAAGTTCTTATTTGTTCCTAGTTTATGGAGGTTTTTTTTTGTTTGTTTGCTTGCTTGTTTTTTAAAGACAGGGTCTCACTTAGCTCTGGCTGTCTTGGAATTTTCTGTGTAGATCAGGCTGGCCTCGAACTCACAGAGATCTTCCTGAGTGCTGGGGCTGGGAGCTCTCTTCATGAGTGCTGGTCTGGGTCTGTAGGGTAGGTTGCCCTTAAGCGCAGACCTTCCTCGTCTCCCGAGGCACTGGGATTGAAGGCCCGGGCCACATGCCCGGCTGCCTGTGTTGGGTTTCCTTGCCTTTTCTCACATTCGGAATGGGCTGCAGGGTCTTCTACATGTTAGAGAAAAGTCTGCCGCCGAGTCACGTCCCCACCTGTGCCACTTGCCTAGAACTTTATCAGGTGCTGTTTTCTGTTCGATAAGATCTATTTCTCGGAATGAGGTTGCCTGCACCAAGAACACTTTTGCTCTCAAAATGATATGCTAAGTCAGCAGATTTTGGTATTAGTCCAAAACAGTTCCTTTCAGAGCTAGAGAGTAGCTCAGCCCTCGAGAGTGAGTTCTACTCACTCTTAAGTGACCTGAGTCACTTCTTAGCACAGGGGTCAGGCAGCTCACAACCCTCTGCAGCCCTGCAAGGGAGTGTACACTTCTAGGTTCCACAGGCACACGGCACCTGCACTCAAATGCACACGTCCGCACACACACGCATAATTACAGTAAAATAAATCTTTAAAAATTACTTGCTTCTCGGTCTGGAGAGATGGCTCAGTGGTTAAGAGCACTGGCTGCTCTTCCAGAGGTTCTGAGTTCAATTCCCAGCAACCACATGGTGGCTGACAACCATCTGTAATGGGAGCTGATGCCCTCTGCTGGTGTGTCTGAAGACAGCTACAGGGTACTCATATACATAAACTAAATAAATCTAAAAAAAGTGTACTTGCTTCTCTTTCAAAACATAGATCAGAATTACTTCATAATACAAAAAGCAGAATATGGTGCCCTATTTAGCTAAATTGTTCCATCTTGCATGTGAGCGTTTATTCAGTATTTGCCTTTCTGGAAGGTGGTGTGACCAGCTCAGGCCTTTGTGTTCCCAGGGTCCCCAAACAGCTGTGCTCAGGTCTTAGGCTGCTGTAACATTATAGTTACAGCTGAGCTCAGGGCTTAAAATGCTCGGCTCCCAGACAGCTGGAAAGAAAGAAAGGAAAGAGTGAGCAGGTCAGGGCCGGTCAGGGCTGCTCCTCCTCCAGGTCCAGCCCAGAGCACACAGCGGGACTGCTTCCTGCAGAGCAGCTTGCCGGTTCTCCTCCATCCAGATCATGCAGAGGAGACAGGCCTGGTGGTAGCAGGAGCCTCTCTGGAAGAGGGAGAAGGGGGTTGCAAGTCAAGACCAGTTTAGGGCACTACATAGAGCATTGGGTGTGGGTTGAGGCAGTGTCTCCATGGTGGAGTAGCGCCTGCTTAGAAGTCTTCAGTGTGAGCCAATGGTGTGCCTGAGCAGCACTCTCCATGTCTCTGTGTGTGTGCCTAAAACGCCTTTGCAGTCCTGCTTTTCTTTTTTTTTTTAAAGATTTATTTATTTATTATATATGAATACACTGTAGCTGTCTTCAGACACACCAGAAGAGGGCATCAGATCTCATTACAGATGGTTGTGAGCCACCATGTGGTTGCTGGGATTTGAACTCAGGACCTCTGGAAGTGCAGTCAGTGCTCTTAACCACTGAGCCATCTCTCCAGCCCGAAGTCCTGCTTTTCATTATGTACATGCTGCGTGTTTCTCATGTCCAATGTAAGGTAAAGGAAACCACAAATACTGCATTGGAAATGTGGTCTCAGAGGCTACTTCCCTGGAAAAGCTGGTTGGCTTCTCTCCTGTTCTCTTCCTCTTTCCTAGTCCCCCATTTTCTCTGTGTCCTACCTGCGCAACTCCTGGTGTCCCACCCTGTCCTCAACCATTGGCTACTGGCATCTTTATTAATAAATTAAATTCCAGCTGGGGGCAAGGACTTTCTGTGTCAGTAAACACAGATCTTCCCAATCAAAGCACCAGAACCGCCCTCTACACCCCTGCCTAGAATCCCCCAGTGAGGGGCTGGGGGCGTGGCTCAGTGGCAGAGCCTCTGCCTAGAATCCCCCAGTGAGGGGCTGGGGCGTGGCTCAGTGGCAGAGTCCCTGCCTAGAATCCTCCAGTGAGGGGCTGGGGGCGTGGCTCAGTGGTAGAGCCCCTGCCTAGAATCCCCCAGTGAGGGGCTGGGGGCGTGGCTCAGTGGTAGAGCCCCTGCCTAGAATCCCCCAGTGAGGGGCTGGGGGCGTGGCTCAGTGGCAGAGCCCCTGCCTAGAATCCCCCAGTGAGGGGCTGGGGGCGTGGCTCAGTGGTAGAAGCCCTGCCTAGAATCCCCCAGTGAGGGGCTGGGGGTGTGGCTCAGTGGTAGAGCCCTGCCTAGTGTATGTTAAAGTCTAGCTTGCATCTCCAGTACAAGAAATTGTATAGAAGAGATTCACTAGCATTCAAGGTATCGCAGACTGGGGTAATGGTTAACTTTGGAATCATAAAGGCAGTGTCACAACCAGCCAGAGTGACTGGTTTCTTTACAGTGAATCAGAAGAGATATTTGGGGTTCCCTGAGGCTTAGTGTTGGTAACAGCTCCCAGCTGTTGGTTGTGTACATACACACACACACACACACATACACACACATGCAGGCACACACTATGCAAAATCCGGTCCTGTAGTTCACTTGAGATTCTGGCCCTTTGTAACAAGTGGAACAGAGGCCAGCGAGTGGCTTGTGCTCTGTATGATTCTGTTGGTGGTGGTGTTTAATCCCAGCTGAGCATCAACAGGCATATTGTTATGTATTTTTAACCGTAGTAAAAGGCTTCTTTTCTAATTTTATAGATTTTACAGTATGTCAGTTAGAAAGAGATGAAATAAAACAAGCCTAAGTGACCATTGCTTATAGCTCAGGAAACAACTGTGTTCTTTGCTCAGGAGGGAAGGCTAGCCCGAGGCAGACTCAGCACTGACCTGACAGTTTGGGCTGGGGGAGGTGGCTTGATTGACACCTTTCTTTGGGATCTGACCCCGTGGTCAGAGTGACTGTTGTTGCTCCATCCACCATGCAGGGAGGAGGGAATGCAGCCTTCCGCAGTCAGGGTGTGTGGTTTGTGGCTTCTGGGACCCCTATCATGGCAGCTGTGTGCTTGTAGGTGTGTGTATTTATTGTTTATTTCTTCTTCCTCTTTTTATTATTACTGTTATTACTATTATTGGGACAGAGACTCTTACTCTCTAGCCAATGCTAAGGTTACAGTTAGGAACCACCATACCTGGGTTATTTATTTTTTGAAGACAAGACAGCACTAAGTAGCCCAGATGGACCTCAAGCGTCTAACTTCCTGCCTCAGGTCCTTAGTGAAGGTATGCCAGGCTCGTAGCAGCGTACTGTAGGGCTGCTTGGGAAAGTACCTTTCCAGGCTGGAGACATCATCTGCTCTTCCAGAGGTCCTGAGTTCAATTCCCAGCAACCACATGGTGGCTCACAACCATCTGTAATGAAATCTGATGCCCTCTTCTGGTATGCATGAAGAAGGTGACAGTGTACTCACATACATGAAATAAGTAAATCTTTAAAAAAAGAAAAAGAAAAATAGTACCTTTCCAGGGAACAGTTGCCCCGGGTTAGGTAGTCCATGCTTACGGAGACACCAGAAACAGTCACTGTGGGTTCTCGCTAGCTAGTGAGTTCTCTAATCATAAATTACATTTAGTTGTTTATTGTGTGCGTGTGTGTGTGCGTGTGTGTGTGTGTGTGTGTGTGTGTTGTCACATATATGTGGCGGCTGGAGAACAACTTTCAGGAGTCAATTCTCTCCTTCAGCCGTGCAGTTAGGTTCCTTCATTAGCCATCCCGGTCCTGTGAGGTCTCTCAGAGTCCTGCAGAGGAACACTGCGCTTAGCAGTTCTCCAGAGAGGACTGTCTCTGAGAGGCCGAGTCAAGCAGCTGTCCACCAGCTCCCCAGAAACACACTCCCCTGCCTTAGCTTGTTCGCTACTTATGCCTTCTCCAGCTCCCTGCCAGGTGCTAAGGGTCTCTAAGATCTTTCTTGGTGGGAGCCTATGTCTTGTCTCCTGCTTTCTCCCAGTTCTGGGCCGCCACGTTCCTGCTTCTGTGGTGGCCCCGCCATCACCTGGAGGCAGAGAACGTAAATAGTATTTTTGTGGGCTGAATTTTATATAAGAATGTAGTTGCCAACTGTTACTGTAAGATTGGGGTCTGGTGAATAGAAGAAGCCAGGGCTGCTGTCCCCAGTGGGGTGAGGAACAGAAGGCAGATTGGAATGACGGAAATGTCTGTCACAGTGTGGAAGGGTCACCGGAGCTGAGCAGGTATGCCCTTCCCTTTCTACTGCTGGTGTCCCCAAGAAAGGGGTTAGTGTGGGGTGCTGAAACCTGGGTTCATCAGGAGCTGGGGCAATGCTCCCAGTATCTGCAGATGGGCAAGGCTGCAGCATGCAGCCTCTCTAGCTCCTCCTGGTGGCAGAGTCTGGTAAGCCTGCTCCATCTTTGGCTGTGATTTCGGTTCTGGCGTCCTGTAACCCTCTTGGTCTTTGAACTGACTCAACTGTGCATGCCCATAGGCCACTTGTACTGTGCCTCTCACCGAGACACCTCTGCTGGGACAGTTCCTTAGGGCATGTGGTCCCCTGTACTGCCCGATTTACGTGGAAATTTGTCTGGACTGCGTATGGCCTGGTGGTCCCACTACTGAGGAGTGAAATCAGCATGTTTGGGGACAGCCCCACATCATGCAAACAGCCCTGTTAAACTCAGTAGACCATAACCAAGACACAAAATCAGGAGAGCTTGTTGGGAAGAAAAGGGGGTCTCCAGGGAGTCAGAGAGGGTCAAGGAAGGGTGTGTGAATATGATCAAAACAAATTGCATACATGAATGGACATTATCCAAGAACAATGCAAATAATTGAAAAGAAAAATCTGTCATGGCAGCAGTTGTTACTGAAGTCGGAGGAGTAAAGCCGGGAGCGGTGGAGAAGACGCCCAGCAGTCCTCCCCAGCCCCACATGGTACATGTTCCCACACACCCATGAGCACGCACCAAACACAGCAGACATAACAGAGGGCAGGTCTGTTGACTTCCCCCTGCCCAGCTCCTAGGAGGTGTCATCTCGCTCTGGCCCTCATTCCTCACACTGTCTTCCGCCCAGGTCCTTCTCGTCACCTCCTCCTTCATGTCCCCCTCTGAGAGCCGAAGTGGCTCAAATCCCAACCGTGTTCGCATTTTTGGACCTGACAAGTTAGTCCGGGCAGCAGCAGAGAAGCGCTGGGACCGTGTTAAAATTGTGTGCAGCCAGCCATACAGCAAGGTACCTGGTGTGAAAGCTGAGACGTGCCCAGGGAAAGGGGGCGGGGGATCTAAGGGGCCCATCCTGAGTCCAGGGGGCCGGGAGCAACAGACAGCCACTGCTCAGGTTCCCAGCACTGGGTTTGAGGTCCTCCTGGGACAGGCAGCAGGCGGCGCAGCTCTCTGGAGCGAGTGTTGGGTGACTTGAGGCCATCAGGCTCTGTTTAAGATCACTGTTACAGCCATACTGGGACCGGGAACTCGGGCTCCTCCTGCTTTCTGCTTCTGCATCCAGTCAGCAGAGGAGCAAAGAGCTCTGGGTAGTTTGCATTCCAGAAATGGCTCCAGACAGAGACCGGGCACATAGAAGTGAACTTGCTGCCTGCCGGCTGCCTGTCACTGACAGTGAGGGTCAAAGAGCCACTGCGGGTTGAGGGGTGAGGCCTGACTTTAGTCCACAGTTAGGGCTCAGTGAGGTTTAATGTCAGTATCACCACCATGCTCTGTCCTACACCGTCACACCCACCCCTGTGTTCCAGGACTCACCCTATGGCCTGAGTTTTGTGAGGTTTCATAGCCCTCCAGACAAAGAAGAGGCAGAGGCTCCATCTCAGGTAAGTTGTACCTGTTACCCCCAGAGCCTCTCCCTGCCTCTCCACCCCTGCCTGCCAGCAGTCTTCCCACAGCACTGACCTTGCGGGACCTTAGAAGGTGACAGTGACCAAGCTCGGCCAGTTCCGTGTAAAGGAGGAGGATGACAGCGCCAACTCCCTGAAGCCAGGGGCACTCTTCTTCAGTCGTATCAACAAGGCGTCTTCAGGTGCGCGTGGGATGAGAGCTGCCGGGGACGGCGTTGGCGGAGTACTCACTTAGCGTAGAGGCCTGGGTTCAGCTCCCAGGCCCAATCCTGAGGTCTCAGCACAGGGGAGATGAGACAGGGGGATCGGACATGTAAGGCTCTCCTTGGGTAGATAGAAAATCTGAGTTCCGCCTAGGCTGAACTTGTCTCAAAAGCAAAGCTGAGAACTGAGAGCACGGCCAGGTCTCTAGGTCAGGGGAGGAGGCTGTCCAGGGAGGAGGGCTGCGGCCTGGACTGCGAGTTGTCACTTCTGGATGCAGGAGTGACTTGATACCTGATAGACGGGCGCTGAGGCCGCTGTCGCCATGGCCTCCCCCTCAGCCCACTGTGTCCTTCCATAGCCTCTGCAAGTGACCCTGCAGGACCCAGCTACGCAGCAGCTACGCTGCAGGCAGCCTCCAGTGCAGCCTCCTCAGCCTCTCCAGTCCCCAAGGTTGTGGGCAGCTCTTCCAAGGTGAGCTCATCAGACATTGGGGCAATGGAGAATGAGGAAAGCTGGAAGCCAACCCATCCCTACCTCCTCAGCCTCAGGAGTCTCCCAAAGGGAAGAGGAAACTGGACTTGAGTCTAGAAGACAGGAAACCTCCCAGCAAACCCTCAGCAGGACCACCCGCCCCCAAGAGACCCAAATGTAAGCAAACTAGATTCCTTGACTCTGTAGTGACCGGGGCTTGTGTGTCATGAGGGAAGGGCTGTGGTCTTGAACTCGCCATCTAAGAAGGGACAGCCTGATTTCCTATGAGAGATGGGTCACCAACCAACCGAGCTTGTGTTCTTTGGCTCCCCAGTGCCTGTTCCTCCTGCTCGTGCCCCGGCTGTAGCTCCAGCCTCTACCCCAGCACAGAGAGCTGTCCCAGCGAAGCCCCGGGAAGAAGGCGCAGGGCCCAGGGGAGCCCGCGCTGGACCCCAGGAGCTGGGCAAGATCCTGCAGGGGGTGGTAGTGGTGCTCAGTGGCTTCCAGAACCCCTTCCGCTCAGAGCTCCGGGACAAGGCCCTGGAGCTGGGGGCCAAGTATCGGCCAGACTGGACCCCGGACAGCACACACCTCATGTGGGTCCCCTGCCCTGCATGCCCTCTCTTGGTTCATCTGTCCCTGTTGTGCTGTCCTCCCTCCCTCCCTGCTTCCTTGTGCCCCTCCCCGGCCCCCACCTCTTTTCCCCCTTAGTTGTCTGCTTTTTGCTCCCCCCGCCCTTACCTCCCTCTCTGTTCTGATGGAACAGAGCACCATGTCTGATTTGTCCATCAGATCATGGCTGACTCTCCTGTTTTGCATCCCCCAGCTGTGCCTTTGCCAACACTCCCAAGTACAGCCAGGTCCTGGGCCTCGGAGGCCGGATTGTGCGTAAAGAGTGGGTACTGGACTGTCACCGCATGCGGCGCCGGCTGCCCTCCCGGAGGTGAGGCCCCAGTCCTGCCTCAGGCAGCACACACACCTGCCTGAGCAGCCAGTGAAGAGCCTGGGCCTGCAGGCAAGCTCGGGTGGCCTCCAACCAACAGCTGTTTTCAGAGCTGGGCAGGGCCCTCAGATGGGAAGTAACTTGCCTGGCTGGTCACCAGATTTTGTGACTATGTCTGCTTTGTGCAGAAGGGAAAGGACACTGGGTTGTGGCTGTGCAGAGGGAAGGGAACCTCAGGGCTGTGCACCATTCTTCAGAACTGACCTTGAAGCATCCTTTGGGTGCCAGACAGAGCTGTGACTGAAATGAGGACCCTGATGCTGAGCCCTGTGCTTCAGTGAGTGTCAGAAGTGTCAGAACCCACCCTTGAGGCACTCGGGGGGGCCCCAGTGAGTGAGAGTCTTGCAGGATGAGAAGCATGTGTAGCAGGCAGACAGAGGGCATGCTGGGCTACAGAACAAGCAGGGGTGGGCAGCATGGCATCTCCTTGGTGCAGTGGGAGGTGGCAGAACCTCTGGCTGCCAACAGGAGGAGCTGTGGAGGGGAGCCGGAGAAAAGCAGACTCCGAGCCAAGTGAGGACTGGGGACGAGATCTGCCTTACTTGACATGGCTTGAGTCTGTTCAATAAGCAGGGCTAACCCTGGCACATTCATGTCAGGGGCTGTGATGGGGAAGGTGGGGGGTTGGTCAGCTGACCTGGAAGAGGCAGGGACTCCACATCGTGTTTGGATTCCACAGATCTGAAAGCTAGTTATCTGTCTTCAGTCCTGTGATCATCCTGAACAGATGTACGGAGGGCATCGGTGGGCTCTTTTATTCCCCGAGGTGTGTAAGGATAGTTAGCTAGTGTGTCACAGTAGGGGCTTGGTTTCAGCGCGTGCACACACATGCACACGCACACATGCGCCCGCATGCTGTACCGAGATTCAAAAGTCTTAGGATGGTTGAGGCTGGAGAGATGGCTCAGTGGTCAAGAGCATTGGTTGTTCTTTCAGAAGACCTGGGCTCCGTTTCCAGCATCCACATGGTAACTCTCAGCCATCCGTAACTTCAGTCTCAGTGTCTGATGACTTCCGGCCATTATAGGTACCAAGCACACACATGATGTATAGACATACATGCCGGCAAAACACTCATACACGTAAAATGAAAAACTCAATCTTTACTTATGCATGTGCACAAGTTGCTTATATAAAATGGTATTTACATTAAAACTGCATAAAATGTTCTACACATTTAAAAAAGATTTATTGTTATTTAAATTATGTGTGTGTGTATATATCTGTGCCGTGGTACGCATGTATGTTCAGGTATGTGAGGAGGCCAACTGTGTCAGGTCCTCTAGAGCTAGAGTGATAGACAGTTGTGAGCACTTGATGTGGGTCCTGGGAACCAAATCTGGGTCTTCTGAACAGTACAAGCTCTTAAACATTGAACTATGTCTCTAGTTTCACATACTTTTATACGAATGTGTGTGTCTAAGAACTGAACCCAGGGCTTCCCACTTGCCAAGCAACTGCTAAGCCATGCCCCCAGCCCCTCACTGGGGGATTCTAGGCAGGGGCTCTACCACTGAGCCACGCCCCCA